GAGAACCAGGCCTCTAGGAATTCTTGTGCTTGTCTCTGCTTGGCCTGTCCCAGGATCCTGGTGTTGTCCCAATCAAACTGGTGGTTTACCTTATCCATGTGGATGGAGATGAGTGAGTATTGGTCGTATCCTTTTGTTGCTGGTTGATGTTCGTGTACACTTGTGGCTAATTTTTTTCCTGTCTGTCCAATGTAATGTTTGTCGCAATCTTTGCAAGGAATCTTGTATATGACATTGGTTCTGTCCATAGTGGGTAACGGGTCTTTGGTTCGGGTTAGCAGTTGGCGTAGGGTTGATGTGAGTTTGTGTACTACTGTGATGCCCAGTGGTCGTAGGAGTCTTGTGGTCAGTTCAGATGTGTTCTTGATGTAAGGTAGCGTGATGAGTGTGTTGGGGCGTGCAGTATCTTCCTGCTGTCATTCGTGTAATAGACATCATCTGACCCAGTTGTGGATACCCGAACAACGTCATATACAAGATTCCCTGCAAAGACTGTGACAAACATTACATTGGACAGACAGGAAGAAAATTAGCCACAAGAGTACACGAACATCAACTGGCAACAAAAAGACACGGCCAATACTCACTCATCACCAACCACATGGATAAGGAAAACCACCAGTTTGATTGGGACAACTCCAGGATCCTGGGACAGGTCAAGCAGAGACAAACACAGGAATTTCTATAGTCCTGGTTCTCCACTAAGAAGGCGATCAACAAACACGTAGAGCTAGACCCTATTTATACTCCACTGTGACGCAAATCTGGAAGTGAGGCAATCCAGCTCAACGGACACCAGAGTTTAAATAACAGACAGGAAAACAAAACAGCACTTTATCGGACGCTGCACTGATGATGTTACCCAGCAGGGTAATGAAACGTCTGCGGAACAACGAACCAGCGCAGTGAGCCAACCAACCACAACATCCACAACCCGAGCTACAATTCTACACAAAAAGTTTACAATGCTATGGTCCGTAGCAATGTAGCATTCCTTGGCAATATGACCAGGCCCATCGCTTACAGCACCAGGGACAGGCAAAACATCAGAATATAGTAAAATTTTTTGTTCGTACACTGAGGGATTATGCATAGTTTGATGCAACTGCATACAAAAAGTGGATGAGTATGAGGGGACAATGTTGTTACTTTTCTCGCTTTTATCTTGAAGTTTATGCCCTTGGAAATATAGTCCATTTTCCAAGCTTCAAATAATGTAGAAGATGAATTTGCTGCCATGTACAGCACCACCAAGAGCACCCTGCATCAAATGACCAGATTCTCACCTGCAATGGAGACGGAATGTCGCTCCTACGTGCCATTTTTGTTTGACCATACCAATTCACTCCATCCAAATTTTAGCAGATACTCTGATTGCTCTGAACCATTTCTGCAGAGAATTCAGGTAATCTAACCAGTGAAGGAGACAAAACTCAGTTCCAAAAGAACAGGGCCTTACTTTTGCCTCAGAGAAAGTAAGAACTGCAAATGCTGGAGTTAGAGATGACACAGTGTGGAGCTGAAGGAACACAGCAGGCCAGGCAGCATCAGAGGAGCAGGAAAGTTGACATTTCGGGTCGGAACCCTTCTTCAGAAATGGGGAGGGAGAGTGAATAGAGAGAGGAGAAGTGGGGCTTAGGAAGGTAGGTGGGATGGCGATAGGTAAGTGCAGGTAGGGAGTGGTGCAGATTGGTCAGTGAGATGGGAGGGGCAGATAGGTGGGAGAGAAGATGGACAGGTTGTATCAGGTCAAGGAGGCGGGGTGAGAGGGAGGGTTGATCATGGGATGTGGCTGAGGGTGGGGAGATTTTGAAAGTGGTAAAATCCACATTTAAAACATTGGGCTGTAGGCTCCCGAGGTGGAATATGAGGTGCTGCTCCTCCAGTTTGCGGGTGGCGTCATTGTGACACTGGAGGATGCCCAGAATGGACATGTCACCCAAGGAGTTAAAATGGTTCGCAACCAGAAAGTATTGTCGTTTGTCACGAACACAGTGCAGGTGCTCTACAAAACAGTTTCCGAGCCTCCGCTTGGTCTCACCGATGTAGAGGCCGCCACATCGGGAGCAGTGGATGCAGTAGACCATGATGACAGATGTGCAGGTGAACTTCTGTCTAATGTAGGTTAGTTTTGTGCCTTGAATGGAGGTGAGGAGGGAAGGTGTAGGGGCAGGTGTATCACTTCCTGCAGTTGCAGAAAAAGGTGTCGGTGGTGGTGGGGTTAGTGGGGAGTGTGGAGCAGACAAGGGAGTCACGGAGACAGCAGCGCCTACAAAAGGCAGATGGGGTGGGGAGGAAATATACTTTTGGTTGTGGGGTCGGATTGTAGGTGGTGGAAGTGATGGAAAATAATACGTTGGATGTGGAGTCTTTGGTGCGATACGTGAGGACAAGGGGTATTCTGTTTTTACTTTCATTGGGGGGGAGGGGATGCGATGGCAGATGTGTGGGAAATGCAAGAGATGCAGTTGAGGGCATTTTTGATCACCAGCGGGGTATGGTGTAGTCCTTGAAATAGGAGGATGTCAGGGAGTGGTACGCTCCATCTTGGGAGTGGATGCGGCGGGGGTGATGGAATTGGGAGGAAGGGATCGCATTCTTGCAGGAAGGTGGGTGAGAGGAGGTGTAGTCTAGGTAGCTACGGGAAGTCGGTGGGCTTAAAATAGATGTCGGTTTCAAGGCGGTCACCAGAGACGGAGACAGAAAGGCCCAGGAAGGAGGGGGAGGTATTAGAGATGGTCCAGGTGAATTTGAGGTTGGGGTGAAAGGTGTCAGTAAAGTTGATGAACTGTTCAAGCTCCTCGTGGAAGCACGAGTGCTCCCTCTTGCCTCAATTCTCCTTCCCTCCCAAGGCCAGTTCAACCTGGATCGCAGATGATAACCAGTCTGTGCACTCAACAGCGGGTCCCAAACAGAGGACGGTATCATCGTCTGTGCACAAAGCGGCTTTAAACCTAAATGTAGACGATTTATGAAACTAATTCCGTTAATAATGCAGGAAAATCCTGACTTCTCTAGAAATACATGGTCTACCAGGGACGCAAATCGTTTATATTCAGGCCCTATAGTTTGGGCAAGGGGTGGGAATCGCTGTTTTTCCTCAAAGAGATCGCAATCCATTGTTTCAGCAAAATACTGTAATTTTTAAATGTTCTGCCTGAATGACAACTCCTGAATTTAGCCTAACAACAGCTAACACACACACAAACCTACTCCGACACGGATGGAGCCTTCCCTCCCGCCCGACACACCGCCAATAACGAGGCGCCGACAAGAGGGACCCCGTCTCTCAGTCCTCCGAACTCCTTCGCCCTCACCTGGGAGGACTCGGCCCTGATGGTCAGCACTTGGGCTCTGCGCGCGCGCATCCCGAGCCTGTTTCGGCGAGGAGGGTGACCGGTTGACGAGGGGAGCGCATGTGCAGAGCGGGCTTGTCGGTCGGTGTTGCCCTTTATCTCAATGGCGTTTCTCAGTCGTTCAACATGACCGATTACACCGAGGAGCAGCGCAATGAGCTGGAGGCACTGGAGTCCATTTATCCGGACTCGTTCACAGGTGAGAGGCCTCTGGTCGGGCTGAGGGCCCTCCGCTAAGGAGAGGAGCGGGAGCCAGGCCATGGGCCTTAGACCGGGCTCTGCCACTGGGGCACGGGAGATGGGAAGACGCTGGCAGCCGGAGGGGAGGGGAGAGGAGGGCTTTGCTGTGGCCGGTTTGGGAGCTGCTGGCATCTCAAACCATCACCGAGTGTGGTAGGTAAACAGTCTGGTGAAGTGTCACATGTGTAGTTAGTTCCGCATCTTCTCAAAGCCGTCCATAGGCGAAGGATTGGATGTTCATCATCTTTTGTACTTGGGAACATCCATATTGATATTGTAACAATCAAGAATTAGCCCTGTCAATAATAATGTGCGGGATTTAGTTTCATTGATTTGTCCCCACGTGTGAAATTGTAAGGCGTATGGAATGTTGAAGCAATGAGTATGTTCTGATGCGAAACAAAATAAGGGGCCAGCAGAATCAAACTTCGTAGTGAAAAAGATTAAATATCTGAAAACAAAATAGCTTATTTAACAGTGGGATGTTCTATTCCCTCTTCATTAGGCTTTGCCTCAACTTTTTTAAATTCTCGTTTGGAATCTGTGCTTTCCTGTCTATAATTAACCTTAAACTGTTAGGTGCTGGGCATAAAAACCAAAAGAACAGTGGGTGCTGTAAATCAGAACCAAAAACAGAAATTGCTGGAAAAGCTCAGCAGATCTGGCAGCATCTGTGAAGAGAAATCAGAGTTAACATTTTGGGCCTGGTGACAATTCCTCAGGCATCTCTGACAGAGAAGTTTTAGGTGCTGCACGCTACGTAATGCATGGCTGACCAAGCATCTCTCCAACTTGAGATAGTAGGAACTGCAGATGCTGGAGAATCCGAGACAACAAGGTGCAGGGCTGGATGAACACAGCAGGCCAAGCAGCATCATAGGAGCAGAGAGGCTGAGCC